TTTTATGTCGAGGGTCCGTCTCGATTACAAGTCAATAAAAACGAGTGTTATCGAATAGCAAACGTAATATCGAGCGCGTGGAGAAATAACATTTCGATTTTTATATCCACATAAAATGTTCAGTAGTTTGAAAGAGTCGGATCAAAGATGTAGCTTGTGTGAACAATAAATGTTAATCCCACTGTCATCAACTATCTGCAACATGTTTCTAGGTGTAAAACATGTCTCTATTGCCATTAACATGCAGAATCGCATGATAACATTTGTCAGCAGAATTTAGCGAAACGCATAGTGGCCTCAACGGAGTCAAATCATGCGTGGATCTAATGACGTGATCTCGAAGCAACACGACTAAAGCTAAAACGTGCACAATTAGCCTGATAACATCGGCATATAATTTGACGTCTTTATAACCAAGAAAACGAAACTTATTGCATCGCCATGGAGGCCTGGAAGGATGAAATGGTTTACGGATTATGAGATATAGTTAGTTAAATGTATGAAAGTTGCGTGACCACAGCGCTTATCGTAGCGCGTGAGACAACGTCACAATTCATTACCAACAACAAGAGAATGCAATTTCACTACCTTGTTACGTATATTCTACAAATTGTATAGTGATAAAGGCGCACTAAATTCCACAAGATGGGACGTGCCTAAACGTTCAAATCAGGGGCTAGGTGTACTGACTTTTCCAATTCAAAATCGTGTACTGAATAAACATAACTATTTACAATCAGCGCAACGTGCTGCAAATTCTATAGTATTCGTATAACACCTCGGATACTAAAACAATAATGCTGACATCCGGCTATTTCATATATTACAAAATATAACCTCAGTGTGTGTGCAATTACTAGCAATCATACATAGAAGAAATCTGTGGAGAAACACAATTCCTGCGAGACACTCGAATCGGCTGACCGGAAAAGTTGATCCGACTTAGCGCAGACAAATGTATTAATATTTCTGAGACACCGCGATGCGTTCGTACTAATTGCAAGTCTTTGTACAGTTTGTAAGACACTTTACTTATAGCCGAATATCACGGACAGCCGAGAGGTGTACGTGTGTTGATTTACAATAGACCACTTGCGAGTCTCAGTTCACTAGATACATCATCAAATTATTACAAACTCGTTCGTAAATATAATCGTGCAATAATTATGATACTTCTCCATGTACTTCTGAAAATTTTAAAGTTTTACTTATCAGTAGGGTAAAACTAACCTGTCTCACGACGGTCTAATCCCAGCTACTCATCAGTAGGGTAAAACTAACCTGTCTCACGACGGTCTAATCCCAGCTACTCATCAGTAGGGTAAAACTAACCTGTCTCACGACGGTCTAATCCCAGCTACTCATCAGTAGGGTAAAACTAACCTGTCTCACGACGGTCTAATCCCAGCTACTCATCAGTAGGGTAAAACTAACCTGTCTCACGACGGTCTAATCCCAGCTACTCATCAGTAGGGTAAAACTAACCTGTCTCACGACGGTCTAATCCCAGCTACTCATCAGTAGGGTAAAACTAACCTGTCTCACGACGGTCTAATCCCAGCTACTCATCAGTAGGGTAAAACTAACCTGTCTCACGACGGTCTAATCCCAGCTACTCATCAGTAGGGTAAAACTAACCTGTCTCACGACGGTCTAATCCCACCTCACGCTCCCTGTTGGTGGGTGAACAATCCAACGTTGTAAGTCAGAAGCATCAATTTAATCGATCAGCAGATTAATACAGTAGAATTAATAGCAGAAGACGGGACGTCACAGGACGATCAGAGAATTTTGTGAACTAATAATAATTTAAAAACTTACACATTTGTATAAATTTCCAATGATAACAACATTGTCATTGTTTGCCATGACATATGAATATTATTAATCAAAGCCAGATTTTTGAGATTCCACAGGACAATTATTGTATCTGGCAACACCCTTACAACAGTTGTATTACATTCATAAATGTAAAGACAATATTTTTTACCGAATGCATTGTAATTCCGAGAACTAATTTGGAGCAGCAGTCCTTTAAGTTACAAAGCATAGTTCAGCAAATAATATTAATGCATACAAATAATGATTAAATGTTGCGAATCATGGAAGGAACCACAAAATAAAGCGACTTTTAACTAGCAGGCCAGATTTTAGTGAAAAATCTGACTCAGTGGACTTTCGGAGTTTATTTCAGACATTTACAATGCCTCAATTAAGTATTAATATTGACGCTTCAATGTTATCCGACCGGACAGAAGAAAACTCGTTCCAATTTGTATTGTCTCACATTAAAATATAAACTACAACTGGGAGAATAAATGTTCGTTGTTCGAAAAAATGAAATTAAAGAGTGCTTAAAAGAAAGATACTGTTAACAAATATACAAGAAACGTCACCTAGATATTGTCCTAATGTAGTAGACATGGTGAATTGCTGGTAAACGGAGCAAAATACTACATCTTATGCCGGAAGCATACAAAAACACAAATGGTTTAGTTGGTAACAATCTTATTCATTGGATAACCCACACACATACCAGATAAACGGTCTTTCCATATATGGAACAATGATTATAATCTAACTTTATTATACAACTAATCAAGTATGCAAATGAACTCTTCCCATATTGAACTTGCCTTCAATTTCGCCGAACTTTACTTCCAAATAAATAAGTAGATTAGAAAATAATCCACCGAATACTAGATGTTATTGTAACATCAAAGAATAAGTGCGAACTTGACTGACAATAAGCACAACTTACAATGTATCAAAACTTAAATCAGATTGATTATAAAAATAGTTGTTATAACAAAGAGACACAATCTCAACCCTATTTCCTTAAGCATATAAAATCGACCCACGTAAAGTTTGACTGAAAAATCTATATTTTTCGTAACATAATATAAAACTCTATATAAATAGATTGCGTGAAAATATATTGTGTTTTAGAAAACGAAAATGAAGAATGAGGCACTTTTGCATCACCTTACCTACATTACGAAACACTTTATATACGATAATAACACAAATCATTAATAGAATAGAATATTTTCAAAACATATATATATTGAGGTTAAATACGCTTGTTTTTGTTGCATCGTTTTATCAACATTGATAAGATGGAAAATACTGTAAAACACGTTCAAATAGCCACATGCCATTTTAGCGAAACATGCATGAAATGACTGCGTGAGAATATACTTAAATTAGCAACATCTTGGACAAGCGAAATTACCGAATAGCTAAAACGAACATGGTTGATAAATAAAGGCGTGTTTTACAGTAGTCCCTACTCTCGAACTTTAAATTATATTAAATGCTGAAACACAATATAACTGAATATAACATAATAGATACATTGTGGCTGCATATGTCTGATTAAGGCTGTTAACAACTACAAGAATGAGATACTATATATTATACATAATGAAAAACAATCTCAGTATGCTTAGTGAATACACAGTAACGGAACATTAATAAGCATCTAACTTCTATTGCTTAAGGCACTTTTTGTACTTTTCATTAACCCAGAATAAACTGGTTCTTATCCTGCTTTTATGTCGAGATCTCAAGATACGTTTACTGGAAAGGTTGCTAAATTGACAAAGCAAACATTTCTTGTATTGTAAATGTCATCATTTGTTTAATTTTTTTCTGAAAAAAGTTTATTTCCAAACTCAACACATTGATCAGAATGATGAAAACCCTGTCATTCTTTTAACAAAATTGGCAGTGATATTATAGACACATGTATAAATAAAAAAGAGGTATTTTAAAAAAAAGTGTGTATAAAAAGATAATATATTTAAAAATTTTAAAAATAATGACTGCTATTTCTTTCTTTAGATGTACACTTTCACAATGTGAGTATTTATCAAAATAAATAACAGCTCTAGTTAAAATAAATTTAAAGTAGTTTTCTGGGATTAGGGTTGGATGAGAACAACTTCAGCGTTACCATATGCACTTCTAAAAGGTGTAATACATGTGAACATCTACATCAATGTTGTATTTCGCTCTCCTGAAGACATAACAGATATATAATTGGTTCTTTAGATCAGTCCTTCTTTTTTTGGCCTCATTCCAGAAGGCGAGTAGGCAGTGTCTGAGACCATAGCCAGGTTATCTACTCCACTCGCCATGGGTGAACAGTCCCTGGACTGTAACAACTGTCTTGTTTCAGCTGTTGAAGTATCTGATATGTCAGAAAAGGTATCACTTGTACGTACACGGGGACTGCTGCTGCTAGGAGATGGAACAGGTTGTTGAGGCGGTGGTGGTGGTGGTGGCGGCGGCGGCGGTGGTGGTGCTGTTGTAGGTGGCATGGATGGTTCAGAGGTAGATAAAGGCATGAAAGTGGCATTTGAAGGATGGTCAGGATCTTTGAGTGGTTTATCGTCACCTTTTCTAACAACTCCTGTGAACATATGGCATAATAATGTATGATAAATCATAACATGAAAAGCTATTGATATACATGCAAATGAACATAAAAAGAGAATTTATGTATCTTCTTTAATTTTTTGCTGGATTTTAATTTCACTAGGAAGTGAAATACTCCATGTCCATGTGGACATGTAAGAATTTACTAACTACAGTAATTGTGCCCTTATTACGTAAATCGAACCCCCAGCAATTACTAGTATGTTAAAACATATTTAAAGTATCAATAAATATGTGAATTTGTATATAATAAAACGTCAATTTCCAACTGTAATATCTATATTCAATGCACACCCTTGAATTATATTACACTAGTAAACTTGGTAATATAACTGATCTCAAAACCTGCTGTAAATCGCTGTGGAAACCATCTACATTATATATTGTTTACAGTGCAATTGGCGGATAATAATAATAAAGCTGAAGGAGATACTTCCCACAGGCTTTTCTGAGGGAATACATTAAAATGTTCAGTTAAATTTGAACTCGTACTCATAATGACCATAATTCACACAAAAAGGATCAATTTTACAAACTTCTTTCATGACCATCAATTTTAATTTCTTAAGTTGATGAAGCTTGTTTCCCTGACGATATTTTGGGATAATAGTTAAATCAGCAAGTGATAATAGGGATAAAATGTGCCGATACAAGATTATCTATAATTAAGTTTTCTGCTTTTGAACATGAAATTCGTTAGCTGAGTAGCAGCTGCTATTGTCCTATTTTTGTTTTTATCGAATTAGTTAGTACATGTTCTTGCACCCACTTACAAAGAGTAATAACTAACTGCCAAGGTCTGAACTACTAGACAACAGCTATAATATATATTGCTGTGATATAAAGTGTTAATAATTGAAAGAAGTGATATGTATGCAAGTCCTGAAATTGTCAATATTCAAAGTAACTTGTTAATATGCATAACACATACATGTAGGTAAAAATTTTATAAAACACAGAATTAAAAAAATGCTAATAAAAAATCAGTTCTCTGATGTCAGATACATGTAGTGTCTGATCTGTTTAAATCAGTAGATTTCAACAGTCCTCCCAAGTCGTTGAAGTTGTAAATCACACAAGACAGTAGGAAATAACATCTGAGACCTTACAGATTATAAGGGATAACACAAAAGAGAGTTACGTAAATTATAACTTAAAAGACCGTGTACATGAGTTATCTATGTGCAAAGTAAAATGACTTCTGAACTTTTTTTTAAATTTTGGATTGTGGATCTGCTGCTCACAAGTCAGTGTATCCACGAACTAATAGGCCAACGACACACAAGTTAATTAGAGAGAAACAAATGCGGTTTCAATAACTGACAAATAAATTACCCTTAGATATACAGTAAATTTACTTTACCTTCTAACTTTGGCAGGTCCCACTCAGGCACACTGTTTCGTGCAAACTCTTTACTAGCCTTCATGCTATCAGGTGACATTTCCACACCAACCTGAGGAGGATTTTCAGGCTCTTCCTTTGAAGTCTTTTTGGAAGGAGGTGCACATGTCCCCTCAGCAACTACTTGAGCAGCCTCCTCTTCATTGGAGTAAGGCCTGAATTTCCCGGCGGTGTCTATGTTTTGCTCATAGATACTTTTTGGTCGAGGTATACTGGTGTGTGCCATGTTGAAATCAGACAGTTTAACGAAATTCTCATCCATGGAGAGCTCAAACGTTTTACTACGTGTGCGACAACACTGCCTGCTGTATTTCTGGATGCAGAAGGCAATGCCAATAATAATAGCAATGCCACAGGCAGTCGCCAGGAGAATGTAAATGATGAACTGTTGTTGCTCATAACTTATTCCTTGTGATGGCTTTTTTGGTGGAGAATGGGGTCCTTTCGGTGTAGGTTTTAGAGTCGGTGTTGGGGGGAAAATAAAAAAATCAATCATTGTGAAATTCTGTCCATTGTATATCATCACAAACACGTCTTCATCTGCAATGTTTTGAAGTACTACAGAGACGTTTGATTCAAGTGGAACATCGGCTGAGAACTCTACGATGGTTGAACCACAGTACACTTTGTCTACTTTCATTTTTCCTATATCCAACTGTATTGTTTCAGACAGCAGCTGCAGAAATGCCCTGGAGAAGTTCCTCTCTTCGCGCATTGCCAGTTCACAATCGCCTGCTAGTGTAATTTTGTATTTTTGATTTACAGGCACTGATTCTGTAGCTGGTACTTCTGTTACATTTTCTGAATCATATGCAGATGAAGTTATGAGAGATAGTGGAAAAGAGGTAGTTGGCATGACAACTGAATTTAGAGACTGCACAGCTTTTGAGAGCTGTGAGGCGGGCATCAGATCGGTGGATACAGATGCGGGAGGATAGAAGGCTGAAATACTGGGTGTTGGGAAAATATGTGAAGATGTTCTGATTC